CCATTACAGCAACAATCAGGCAATGGAGTAATACAGCAAGAACAATTCTTTTGGGCATCCTTGAAACGCTCAATAATCCATTTAATTTAGAACCATTAGAGTGCCATTACATGCTAAATACTTTCTGATACCTTGAAGCACAGAGTATTGTGCATTAAGACTTAGCCATCATCTTATGCAATAGGTAATTATCTTCCCAGTGTTTTGATTTTTAATCTCAAATCATTTCCCATAATGACATTCCTTTCATTGCCCCAGTAATAACCGTCTGCTAAATGGAGAAAGAATTATACATCTTGGGCATAAGGATTGCTAAAGTGTGTTGCAAAGCACTGCTGTAGATTCATAAACTGTCACAAGTAAACTTTAAGAAGCTGCACTGACCTTTACCTGTCATCCTGTGTAATGTTCTCTATCACATGGTTATCAAAGCGTGGTACTTGTCCATACAGAGATGTGAAAAGTGAGCTGCTGAGACCTCGGATCTGCATCCACTGACTTAGCTGATACAAAGGGTGGTGGTTCTGTGCTGGTCTAAACAGCGAGATGGGAATGAGGAGGGTTTTGCCCCACTCACCCTGGTTGCTGCAGTATTTTACTATCATTTTGTATTGCTTCTGGATCATCTAACCTATTGTTAACAGCTCACTGAGATCTGACATTAAATAATTGTCTTCATAGATAAATACACTGTCAGAAATCCTCCTTCCATTGGTTTAAAATAGAGCACGCATTTCCTGGTGTGTGTATAGCGCTAAAAATAAGCTATCTAGGAGTAAATGAGACTGACTTAGAAGTCAGGGGAGCTTTCAGATTGCTGTTTTCTCAGCAAGGGAACAGAGCCAACTGATAGAATCCAGCCTGCAGGGAGGAGGGTGCATTTGCATCACTAACACGCTGCTGCCCGTCAGGTCACGTTCATGCCAGAGCTGCGAAAGCTGCTCCCATCCCTTAGAATGATGAGGATGTGAATCACAAGCACACGGCAATTTTGTACTGGGTTTGTCTTTGTGTGTGTCCTCTCCCTGTGCAAACCCTCAATGCACAGTTCTGTGGCAGAATGTCAGTGTAGATGTGTTGGAGAAGAGCAAATGTAATAGTGTCAGTGCAGAAGATACGATTTCAGCCCAAAGGAAATGACGCATCTTCATTCCGACTGACAACTGAAACAATGCCATGCTTGAAACAGGGATGCTACACTGTTTAGCTAGATAAGCTGTTAGGCATATAATGGAGAGCAAATAGCACTTTGCATTTTGCATAAGAAGTTGACAGGTTTTAAAGCATTTCCTTCCAGTTTTGGGTTTTGAATAGAAAAATCACCATCAAGAACAGAGGCCTGAGATCGCTCTGTGCCATGCAGCCTGCTCTGCTTCCTGCTATTCCATCTCCAAAGCAGGAAACACACTGATGGATCTGTCAAAGAAAGCCTGAGAAGTCTTCAGTATTCCAGCACTTTTCTCACTGCTTCTCCAGATTTTATCCAAATCTTTGTTGCTGCTAATAATTTAATGATGTTATGAGGGCAACTAGCAAAAACTTTAGAAAACCAAGGTACATTTTGTCATTGATCAGGAGTGTAACAAAACGTAGAATCCCACACTGGTTTAGGTTGGAAGGGACCTTAAAACTCCTCCAGTTCCAGCTCCTGCCATGGGCAGGGACACCTTCCACTAGAGCAGGTTGCTCCAAGCCCCGGTGCCCAGCCTGGCCTTGAACACTGCCAGGGATGGGGCAGCCACAGCTTCTCTGGGCACCCTGTGCCAGCGCCTCAGCACCCTCACAGAGAAGAGCTTCTGCCTCAGAGCTCATCTCCATCTCCCCTCTGGCAGGTTAAAACCGTTCCCCCTTGCCCAAGTTCCTCTACAGACCTTCACAGCCTCCTTTCTTACCTCACCCCCAGGATCCCACTTTAGGTCTACAGTAGCCAGTTTAGGGGTGCAATGGGAGCCAGGCACAGCTCTAGCACACAGCACCCTGGCCCAGCATGTCCTGCTTCTCATCACAAAGCAGGGAAAACTCGTATTCAGCAGCAGGTTGTGGAACAAAGAGTTTACTAATGAAAAGACAAGAATACAAGCAGAGGATGATAGTTCAAGTGTCCAACATACTGAACTATATTTTATATTCCATTTCTTTCTCAATGAAAGCAGTTCCAAGTTAAAACTTGTGGGTATGAGATGGAACTTGTTAGGATGTTTTTGATGCTACCATTCCTCCCAGAAAGCCAAGGAAGGGGAGGTGAGCTGTCTCATTTCAAGTAGGCTGGCTGCAGCTACTGTACATTGAGATACTCATCTTTTCCTACTAATTGCTGTGTGGGAGTTAGTCACACAGTGAAAGAACCTTTTGTATTCGCTATCATACATACTACCTCTAAGACATTGTTCCACTATACTTTGTTACTTCTTTGTGATCAGAGCAGTTTAGTATTTTACTCTATTAGCAATCATCAACACATCTTTACTTGAATGATACAGAGGAAGGCATTCCAAACTGAAACTAGGATTCGGTTGTGCAGGCAAGTTACTGATTCAAACACATCTGCTAAAAGCAAGCCCCTCTTTAGTAGGGGGCAAGCATTTAAACACGCCTCTACATCTCTTTAGAGATATGAATATGAATCAGCAGTGCCAACACATCTGAAAATGAAAACATACAACTGGAAGGAAGATTTTAGGAAGCTGAGTCAAATTTCTTAATGTAGAAGTTGCTCAAAGTCCTCCAAAGAAAAAGGAAGGAAAGATACTGATTGATGAACCTTGACGCCCATGCCTGAGGCAGCCAACAGGCTCAAAACTGTGACTTGAAACACAGTGTTATGGGTATGAGGTTCTGAGGATAAGAATCAAGTGAAGAAAAGAGCAGAGAGATGGCAGGAGGGTGTGAAGAGAAGAAAAAAAGAGGGCAAACTGAGAGAAGGGTGAATGATAAGAGGATGATTCCAGTCACAGGAGGACCAACTCCTAATGTGGTCAGTACTGCCACTCCACTGAAGCCTAGAGAGCCCTGGGGGGATGGCTTAGCTCTCTAACTGTGTTCAAAGTGATAACTCTACATTAGAAGTCATTATTTAGACCAATGTTTATTTCTACATGCCCCCCAAAAGAACCATCTTTAGATAATCAGAAGGAACCAAATTCAGTATCAATGAAGAAATGTTGCTTTTGGTGGATAGTGCAGCCCTGAATCCATGGAGAATATTCTTCTTGAGCAAGGATGTTTGGTCTCACCATCTTCTGGGGGCACAGCACTGGGGTTGGAATGAATTAACTTCACCTATGGAAAAGAATGAGGAAAAGTTATCCATTATAATATTTGGGTTTAATCTATCTAGAAAGAATCGTGTCTGTGCAAAACTCACCCATTTATAACCACCTTGGGGAAATCACAGAAATCAGTGCAACTCCAAAAGCAACCAGGAATGTCTGATGCTTAGGTCAGAATTCCTATAAAGGCATTCCTAATTCAGAACAGGGGTCTGCAACAATTTCTCCATCTTGGAAGGCAAAACCTCCTGCTGGGAGTCTCCTGCATTAATCAGGCTGACAGCAGGTCCTGTTCAGCTTTCTGTACTCCCCAGGATCTCTGCTCTTTTGGGAATGCATGAGAGAAACTATAGTGCTCCCAAACTGGAAGTAGGTCCCATGAGAATGACAGCCAGTGGGCCCAAGGGAGAATCTCTCTTAGGTGCTTAAGGTGGAAGCTGAGCAGAGAGTTCCCTTCCTTTTGGAGAAGAGCCATACCAGGATCTTAAGGACTTTCCTACTTTTCTTAGTACAGCAAAAGCCATCTGTAATGTAGCCATTAACCCCAAACTGAAGAGACAAAGCAGTGAAAGGGCTCCTATTTACTGCCATGGGTTGGGATTTGGCAGTCACCACATGGAACCAGTTTGTGCAGTGCACTCTTTCTTACCCATCCTAAAAGGTCTATCAGGAGAAGTCCTGGGAAGAAAATCTGAGCCATTGAACATGGAACTTGTTCCATTAGAATTTAGATTCCACATAGCCTGGGATGGTGAGTTGGGGTTTAAATGTCGTGGTGTAGATCCATCAGTTTCACCTGACCCATTCCAGCCTGAAATCAGAAAGTGGAAGGCACAGGAATAAAACTCTGTATATTCCCATCTCAAACTATGAGAGACCAGGGAGGAGAAAGGTCTGTGCTTGCTTCTTGTGCCACCTTTGTACCTGCCTTGAAGCCTTGGGTCTCTGTGCAGCATGATTCCAGCCGGT